ACGCCCGGCTTGGAACCGAGGAGGGGTTTGGTGGGTGATGGGGTGACTCAGGAGCCTGCACATGTGTCAGCCTGAAGCGAACCCCAGCCCAGGCTGCAGCCCCCAAACTGATCCCACAGGAGCTCCCAGCCCTTCGGGGAGCCTGCGCCCCCTCAATCCACAGAGCTGTGCTAATTTGGCCCTAATTGGCACGCTGTGCACGCAGGAACACGTATGTGCATGTGCTGCACAGGCAGGGAAATGCTTGAAGCATTTTGAGACGTGGCAGCAGCAAAACCCTTCATTATCCCAGAGGATTTGCGCTGCTGGCCTCAGAGCTCCTTGGCCCCCTGCTCTTCTTGTGCTGGCTGGGAATCGAGGTTGGGGCAGCCCCTGGTTTGCAGCACCATGTGCAGGAAGGAGCACTGGGCACACAGGAATAACTGAAGCCATATAGCAATCAAAATTTCCCAGGCAGGTGTTGTTTTGAAGCTCTGGAAAGCAAAAGGGGTTCACAGTTTGATGTGATAAGACACAGTTTGATGCGTCTTATCTTTCTTGTGAGCATCAATGGGGAACAAATTAACTGCTGTGGGAGCCTCACTGCTAAACAGAATTCTCTGTCTGGAGGACATCTGCTGCCCCGGTAGTTTCTTGGAGTATATTAAGGTTTAAAAATAAAAACAAATTTGCAGTTTAAAAATGAGGCCGGGACATCATCTTTCCTCATCACTGTGTAAAGCTCTGATGTGCCAGGTACAAAATGATTTGGAAGCAGCAGAGCTGCCAGCCTCCATCCCAGCTCAGTGGCTGAGATCTGGGGAGGATATGGATGGCTTCTGGGGCTGAAATCCTGACCAGCAGCATGGGATTGAACCCTCCAGCATCCACATTTTTGACCTATGGGCCCTGCCTGCCACACAGACAGTGATGTGAGACCCGCACTGGCAGCTTTGGGAGCTCCATCCCTTTTCTCAGCTTTGACAGCTCTGTCCCTTTGCCCCAGCTACGACAGAGGGGCCACGGTGGCCGGTGTGGTGGGCGTCGGGCGGCTGATCACGGGCATG